ATCATAATGACGCACACAAATCTTGACACCATCTCTTTCTCGGCAATAAAGTCATTCCCGTCAATTATGATCTACATAAAGAAACACTTACGTGTACAGGTAATGTTTCTTGATATTATTTTCTCCTTCTCATTCATTTTAATTGTGAACCCATCGACAGCCTTCTCAAGCCGTTGCTGTCATAGCTGCTTATGACGTCATACCAGTCACCATTCGCTCACTAGGTTCGATTTGGCGTCCCCTATTAATTACACGGTACTTTGCGACGCAGCACGGAGTCGCAAACTTACCCCTACACGGCGTTAAGCCCTTGAGCTATTTTTAAGTCAGGTTATAAATTCCTTGTTTGGTTTTATTCTATTTTGAGGACGAGGAAGAAATGGTTTACCCGATTCGTTTCCATCGAGAAATTTCAAAATCACAACAACAACGATAAATCATTTAAGAACTGTTATTCTTACTGGAAGAGTTGTTATTATTTTGGACGTCACACGGGTAGCTTATAGTTATTTTGAGATTCATTTAAACCATAGAGATATATATATTAATTAGTAGTTTATAGTTCTATGATTTAAACACAATGAACACTACCAGAAACGCGTGTATATACCTAACGAGATGGCATTTTACTACTGACCTCTAATTGCGCAAGTTTAAATAAAATCATATTGTTCTGCCCTCGTTACTAGTAGAAGTGGTGTATCTAGGTAAAGGAGTAATGGTCAAGATTGTGTGGAGGTCCACGATTCCCGAGGAACATAACGAATTGGAGATTACATTATATTATTCATCGTTATGTTTGTTTCAAAGAGGGCTGATTTTTACCCTTTGTGTATCAGCCGATTTTTAAAAAAAATCGTATACATTACAACTAGTATATATTTATATGCTACATTTATCTGGCTGTTACTCGTGCAGAGTCAAGAATCATTATCCAGATCCCGCCTAAATCCGGAACTAAATTGACTCGACTTCTAGGTATCATCAATCATCATAATTCGTGTCATCATTTCATCTTGAAGTAAGATTTTTGTTTCGCATCATGCAACTCGGGTTACTGTCTGGAACTCAATTTCGAAACCACATTTCTCAATTCTCCCTTTGACCCGGATACGAAAGGCCCGGGGTACCACCTGCTGTGGGCCATGATGAACTCAGACAAAAAAAAAGTCAATACCGAATCATTAATTTTCAAGTTTATAATTAAACGTCGAGAGACATACAACTTAATCTCAAGTACCTAAGCAGAATATCTTGCACATATCGACTTCGCAATATATAGATAAGCCTTCAACCCATCACCTTGAAAAGGGAAACCATGATTCATGCTCATAGGCCGTATTTCACTGCGTCCCATTCGGTGTATCATAGTAACGAGACAAAATGCGTGTGTCTATTCGTTATAACTTTAATACTAACGAAGCTTTTTTTAAATATGTTAATTACCGTTAAAGTTTAATGATATACCTTCAATTAGGATAAGACTGTAAATTTGCTAAAACATCCCCGTCTCGTTCTATTATCATGTGGCGTATTTATATAGTCAGAACATAATTTTAAGTAAGTGAATTAAAGATAAAGTTGAGTTCTGGTCATGCGATTGCATTATGAAAGAAACGTTGTGGAATCGATCAGAAAAGGTGGATCATCTAGCATAATAGTATTGGTGTGTACTGCAAGGTTCTAGAATCATCAAAATGATAAGAAATTTGGCCCAGTCTTGGTAAAGTTACAAACACTGTACACAGAAAGATGTATATGGGTCTACACGAACATGTGGCATAAAAATCCGTCCCGATTTTTATGATGTTACATGCCATATTTAGAATATTAAGGCATTTGAAGAGCCATGCTTTTCAGGGAACATTTTTTATCTGATGTTCTTCCACACTTGCAAAACTGCAATGATAACGCCCACAAATTATTTTCACCTCTTCCCAGAACTCAACTTCCTCTTTAACACTGCCATGGAGGGTGGATGGGCATGATATTTGGCGCGGGATAATCCTGGACGATCAAACTATCTATACGGTTTACAACAACAACAAAATCAAGTACCAGAGGGTCTTTCTATATATACTGATGTCTATCCGGTTAAGAAGTGCTTACAAAGTTTACCCGGAAATAATGAGCGTCCATTGTTTGGAAATTCCTCACGAGCAGAATGAAATCTTATAGTCTTTAATAGAAATTAGTCCTATAGGCCTTCATGTCATGGTAATACATACACTAGAATACAATTTACACAGTATGTTTGCATTGTGTCATAGGCGGAAACTAGAAACGTTTTTATACAATGGCGTAAAACAGCTTGTTTGGTATTCATGGGAAATCTTGCTAGTCCCGGAACTAAAAATTCAATATCCATAGCGTTGCTCTATGGACCTTGATATAACAAATTAAATTGAATATACCCTATTCTCTATACACACACGCACTCACACACACACAACACTAATGGCATAGGCCTATATACCGTGTAATGTGAAACTGATACTTCATTCTATGTATACGTTTTCTTTAGAGTTTAATAATATTCACAAGTAAGTACCGTGGTACTACGTGCACTTTGGAACTGATAAAAGCTATAATATACAAGTGAATACATTAACATTGGGGATTTTTATCTGCAAACTACGAACTCCCCACGAATAAAATACGAATTAGACGAAAACAATTCAAGCTATACTCATGTAATAACTTGCATCTCCTTGGACTAACCAACGTTTTAAAGTAATTTAAAGGAAATCTTCATGATGTCTCCGTAATTAAGTCGGAGTTCCGACATGATTGTGTCTATATTATATTGGCAGTGGTGACATTATTTTGAAAACACTACCTTCAGTGGTGGAATAACCACAGAATGAGAACAGGTTCGCTCACAAAAACTTCCCTGATAAATCTCACACGTCTCAAACAGACATTGTTTCATTTTTATTTCCTCTCAATTGCACAATGATTGCGCCTTGCATGCATCGGTGTTGTATACAATACACGCAATGCATTGCCAATCCCCCGTTCATAACTGTATATCACCACCAATAGAAAACTAAAGACTTTTCCTCCGTCCAGAACCGAAACTCGTTCAGGGAAAATCACTGAATATAATGGGCATACGACGCGATTGTATATAAAAGAACCCAACTTGGATTTAGCATTATAAATCAAACAATCTTTTTTACCCCAAACGGAGCGTGAGTATAAAAGAATATGTCAATACAAACGGTGCACATTCCACAGGTTCCCTCGGCACCCCCCCCCCCCCTCCATTGTCTGTTGAATTGGTGTGACTCAGCATGGTAGTAACACGTACTTCAAGCGGTATGCCTGACTTCTTGTCAAAGAAACTCTGGACAATGTTGTATTAGGCTATGGTATATATTTAGTTAAAGACGAGTTAGTTAAGCCAATAAAATAACTATTAACGTAGCAGGATTGTCAGAGTATCATCATTATGAAAATGTACAGTAATTTAAAACAAGGGGCGAACTTTTCAATGTTGAAGCGAAATCTTTTCTGGTATAAATCTGTTCCTCATACTATTCAATATACTTGGTGCTGACGTTTAAATGGTTGCGAGACTAGATGAAAGCAATTAACATCCAGACATCATCCGCATTTAATGAATTTGGAAGAGAAAACTTAGCCCTTGCATGCACTCACGCTATACTGAAAATGATTAACAACATGACTGTAACGAGAAGATTCAGAAAACGAAACGAGTTATTGATCCAACATCATCTCATCATGAATATTTTTGTTGCAGTGCACGCATTCCATATTTGAGCCTCTCCGGAACCATACCAATTTAATTCTATTCACGACTTACAGAGAATATAAAGACAATATAATTTGACAATTATTCTTAACCAATATTGTTACGATGAAATATACCTACGATTTCCCAGGAATCTTTTATCGTAGCTCAAGAAAAGGATACGCGTTGCTAAAGAAATGTCTGGAGTACTATATCTAAAATTATTAAGGAGGGATGGGATCGAGAGGGGTTGAGGTGGCAAAATACCTCGAAAAGCGCCACAGAGCTGCAGAGGAACGTCTCGAATTTCAAGATCGAGAACTCACCATGCATCATCATTACATCCACCCACTCAGTCTGGTCTAGGTACTAAGGAGGCTGTACATCATTGTCAACGCTCTTGACCCAAATAAAAGGGTATAAAACAGTGGCTGCAAGTCCAATTTCGCACATGTTAAACATTTAAAAAAAATTAAGTAATAAATTTATAACAGATTGTGTCACTTCCTAATAATCATTTACCACAAAATCCATTACTAATATAGCCATCGGTTTACATTACCATGCACCTATATTATGAAACACAATGATTTGAAAACCAAAACTGATGAAGCTATATTAGCTTAAGACAGAATTGTCTTTATCTTAGGATTTTTTCAAGTTTAAGTTCAGAGAGCAATCCGGAGCGACCTAATAATCTTCAATAGGTACAAAGGTTATCAGCTCACCTTTGTTATTGGAGGATAAATATGATTAAGCCTGCAAATTATTAAGATGTGCATCCTAAACCTAAACCATCTGATTAAACCTCAAGTCCGAACCTAAATTATAGGCTCTTTAGCCATCATAACCAGATAATATAATTAACTTATCTCTATTGATTATTTTCCGTGTGTTCTGAGTTGTCTGAGCAAAATAAAATTTTGTATGCGTCGTAACATCAGTTGATAATGTGTGGAAGAACTCTCTCTCTCCCACTCCGTTTGAGAGAAAATAACAAACACCATTCGGGAAATATTCGCTTCGAAATAAAGATCGCTTTTGCCATTTGAATAACATAAACAATTAAACATCTACAAAATACTAATACTATTCTGTCAACACAACACAAAGTCCATGTAGACCATTTCAACATTAACAACATCGGGTTGGTGGTAATATAACAATAAACACATGATACACATCAATCATCCCGTCGATAACTTTTCCACACCATATTATCATTTATACCAACACCACCAACCTATATAGTCGTTTTATCCAGATCGGTTTCCGCATTTGCGATACCAGCAAAACTTTGATGCGCAGAATATGATTTCAATCAACTGGAACTCACCTTCGATGAACTGGAAGGGTGGATGTGGATGATAATTTAGATGATTTCCGTGTGATAGTTTTAATGTTTTCCAAATGATAGGTTTGATAGTCTGGTAATGCTCATGATAGTATAATGTATCCACGTCTTTTCTCGCAGCTGGTTTGTGAGTGAGTGAATGAATGAGTAAGCCTGCAAAAACGCAGTCACGATTAGTAGCCAGTGGTAAGTCAGTCGCGACAGAGCGTGTGTCGCGGATACGCTGAGCTGTGTGCGGTGTGTTTCTGTGTGCGATCGGATTGTGTGAGAAAAAACCGAACGTACACAGAACGCACAGCACTTCTTTCATTATCAGACCCAGATCCCAAAACAGTGAATGCACGGATTATAATTTAATGAATAACAAATAAAAATCAAGCTCTATCTTTGTTTAGGTTATTAGAATTGAAGTTCTTTTTACTAAATAAAGCTCGAATTACCCATTATGTCCTTTTCATAAATTACCCGAACGACTGATCGTTGTTTAAAAAAAAAACGTATAACGGCGTAGTAGACTATTCCGTTTTTACGAGAAACCGGAAGTACGTTCGGGGAAACACCCTATAAATAGAATGGCGTTCGTGCGTAGGTGATGACGTCAGCGTGGCATGAATATTATTATTCGTGTACAAAAAGCAGCGGCTATTTTGGCGATCTCTTTTATCTCCAAAATGTATACAAAGTGTGAGCTTTAATTTTCGTTTCCAATCCTGGATCCGCCACGAGTACTGTGTATACATCGATAAATAGTGAAACTTTTCATAGGTTGATAGACATGTATATTTTTGTATAAAATGTTCTAAAGTCAAGCGGACGTTACATACTGGGTCCACAGATGGATGGTCATCACTCATTAGTCAATGTCTTTAAAAAAAGATCTACAGAGTTACATTATCATTCTATCTGTAATTATTGCTAGCCTATAGTTTATTTTAAGCTTGCCTGTATCGTAAAATCCGGTATGAGCTGTTCAATAACAATAATACTATTAAACAATAATTTTTATTATAACAATAATGATAATATTTATATTAATAATGATGATTATAATAATTACCATAATATTAATAATGATAATAATCATTCTTGAGGATATGAAAATTTAAGAAAATAGCTTTACAGCTTTATAGTCGTATCCAAGGTACCATAGCCCCCTCCCTCCCTTGAAAAAGAATGGAAGCTTTTTTAGAGAGAATCTTTTCTTGCCTCTAGCGAAATCCATTTAAAAGCATAACCCCCATCTTCAGTAAGCAAACCTTTCGCCCCATTTTCTGCAACTCTGGACTTACCCCCAATAGTCAGTCAAGCAAAAACGACAAACCAAAAAACAAACAGAAAAATACGATTAGAGGGCATTCAAAGCATGTAAGTTATTTCTTTCGATACCAGGTCCCTCTTTATTACCCGGCTCGCAGGGGCGAGTAGTATGACACGCTCTTCTCCTTCTCCTGCATGAGTGTTCGCATTTTTTCCAAGAGTGAATCAGTTTGGAAAAAAAACTTTGCCTTTGTTCTCTAGACATGACTCCCTGAATAAGTTGTAGGAATTGAGCGATTTTCCCCTGATACTTTTCTTCTTTATTATTTTTTGTAATAACTTAATTCCCGTCTTACCGATGTTATTCGGCGAAAAAAATACACAGAAGGAAAACAAAATATCTAAATTTTGAAATTAGATCAATTCGTACTGAAATATCTCCTACCTGCACTGGTTTATCATTTTACTTTATTTTTTTTTTTGTCTTCAAATTCCGGCTACAGTTTTCAAGAGTGAACGACATTATTTTGTATTGGAAAAGTTCCCACTGTGATTCGATACCCTTTAATGACCAATATTTTGGTCAGTCGTGTATGCAATGGACTAAAAGATTGTGATAGAAAACGTGTTAAGAACCTTTTAACCTCTTTTAACATGTCCTCTTTAGGCGAAACAGAATAAAGTATAGCACTTATCATGCTATACTCCCTAAACTGCTGGAAGCACTCAGCATTCGGACTCAATCTGGTTTATCATATTAACTTGATACGCCTTTTCCCTGCTCCCACGACAAAACAAAATAGAAATTTGATGCCATCAATGCTATATTATTCACGCAGGCAAACCACCTAGGGGAAAGAGGGAGTTACATTATTACCATCATACTTTTATATTCTATTTTCAAGAGCAATCGTGGTATCGGTATTACTAATACTATAGGCTGGCCATTTTTTTAAAATCAGGTTTATCTTCTTTTATTATGTATCTACATGACCAGCGTTCTTACTCTTAGTATTCCTGAACTAGAATTCTTTTGATCAGTATAAATAGTTATTAATTTCAAAAGACAAGATTGATATAGTTAGGGCTCTTTAAATAAGGAAGTCTGGAAGCTACGGGAGCGGGGGCGCACGGGGATGGCAAAAGCTCCCCCAATCGAATGGCAGAAGTAAATAAAAATATTCTAAAGTCCAAAACTAACTTAAGGGATGGGAAAACGAATGTATGCTTGAATAAGGCAACTAACAAACGAAATCATACAATTCGAAAGGCTACGTCATTTTTGTTTTCAAAAGTGCATCTTTAATTGCGATCTTGTCAGGATGCACAAATAGTAATCAAGACGAGATAATTAGGACCTTGTTGAAGATTAACTTTGTGCTAGAAATTATGAAATAAAAGTTACTTGTACGTGCTACCACGAAGAAAATTGTCTCAACATCTTTTTTTTTTCTCGCATTTCTGGAACTTGCGAAAAAATATTTACTCATAACAAAATTAAGAAGCAAAATAGATGAAAAATAATTTTAATCGTAATTTCAGAATTGGTTCTTCTAATGCTTTTTTTCGATGTAGTAATGTACTCTCTGTTTATTTGCTCATACTGTTGTCTGAGAGAGGGAATATTAGAAAATGAAGTTAGATTGAAAATGATGATCAATTAATTACAAGATTAATTAGAGCCTTACAGGAAACGTGACTATTCACGAGGTATCAGTTTGGTTTGTGTCCGGCTTGTAATGGGATAATGCGCATAATAATTATCTTTGCGTGACTTTCCACAGTGGCCCATCTAGCATAAGGCGGAGCTGGCATTCATATCCTCCTATCAATTTACAGGCTCAGAAAAAAATGTATATATATATATATATATATATATATATATGTAATAAAACTATACACCAAGGATATATATATATATATCTAGAAGCAATTGGTGTTTCAGATTTCAGGGAATACGATAAAATTAGCAAATATAAGATGGAACATGTCCTAATGATTCCGCATCCCGCTTGCTTTACAGCACAAGGACGTTTTATCGGTTTCTAGATATACACCACTGTCTGACTGGCATTTTCTGTAGGCTTAATATTCCTAATCAACGTTTATGAAGCAAACCAACACAAACATCAATGATGATCAGCTTTTTGTTTATTTAATTATAATTTTTTAACAAGATATCGTCATAATTGAAATAGAAAATAGGATTAAAAGTATTAACAGTCCGTCTGTGACCATGTGTGCACTTTGTTCCCAAATTAGATACTAAGAAATTGCTAATCTGCAGTAAACACGGATTGAATGGATGAAATGATAGAAACTAAATTCATAGCCTGGGGTTAATGCTACATGTTTATCACTTTTTGAAATATGCGTGCTAAAAAATTGAAATGGTTGTTAGCCCGGAAACCAAGACTAGGTAACGCCTAGCCGGGCGGAAGCCGAATGCCCCGGACATGTGGCAATCAAATATCCGAAACGAAAAGTGCTAAATGCCTTTTCTTCTCTTAAAAATTAATGATTGACAACTCCCTGACAACTTTTTTATATTCTATCTGTACCTCAACCTGTACTGGTGTCTCTACCTCCCTCTCTTTCGCACCTCTCTCTCTCTCTCTCTCTCTCTCTCTCTCTCTCTCTCTCTTTCTTTCTCTCTCTTCATTTTGTTATAATCATCGTACCTATGTGTATGTACCGAAGTAGAAATTACATTATCATTTCAAGAAGATCATCATAATATTAAAAACACACTCTTCAGCTGGATGAATTTTACTTAAGTTTTGTATAAATAAATTTTGGAAACTAGTTTTTTTATTTTTATTTTGTTTTATTCTTAAAAGAAAAAAAACAAGATGGCACCGTATGAATATGTGTTGGCCTATACGTCATATCCCTTTTTCTTAATGGCTTTTATCTCATTCCAGAACCATCAAAGTCTTCCCAAAATTGCCACATTGCCATCATTTTGTCCTTTCGAAAAGTTTTTTACCGATACCATTCCCTTTCTTCTCAACGTTTATTCTTCCTCTATAGGGCTTTTGCTCCCCTCCCCCCTCTCTCTCTCTCTCTCTCTCTCACTATTTTCTTTCTCCCCCCCCCCCCCTCTCTCTCTCTCTCTCTCTCTCTCTCTATCTGTCCTTCCCTCCGTTTGTGTCTCTGTCTGTCTCTCACTACCCCTCTCACTAGCTCTTTAATGCTTTCATTCTTTTTTAATCACAACTTCACTCCTTGCGGTTCCTGAAGTTATAATTAAGAACTACGAAGACAATGAAAAGAGATTTGGAATCGGATACAGACCCGACAACGGTAAAAAGTTTTCCTCTTTATATATATCTCTACATCAGCGGCCGTTACCCTGGTCCATTTAGGTTTCCTGTACTGGCGTGGGAATGTCATTGTGAATATTGTAAAATGCCACATCAGGAATATTATAGCAATATAGTCTTTAATATACCTGAGACATTATCATCAATGAGTTCCTTTGAGATAGGTATATAGGCCTCTGAAATGTGGTGATTATGATGCCTCCTCCCCCCTCCCAATCTTCAGGGCAACAAAATGCAGACGCTGGTGAATTAAGACGTCGGTTGGTTTACCGTGCGGGAAATGCCCAGAATCCATTTGCAACTTGTTTACTCGTAGGAATGTTACGTGTGGCGTTTTAAACTATGACATGTTTACCTCTGACAAGTTTCCATGTCTTCTATGCATATATTCTTTTTTGAATTTTGATTATTGGCAAAAATGATCCACCCCCTACCCCACTCTCGCCAAGAAAAACATATGCCATTTCAGATCTCTTTAATGCCTACATGCTTCTTTTTGCTATTTGGGGAAAGACTGAATAAAGGGCAATAAAACAATTAGGATGGCGTGGAAAAATGACCATGTGTTAAAATTTTCGTTTGCTCATATTCTGGGCGACGAGAATTTCATCAATAATTTAAATCTTGGACTATGGATTATATCGTTAAGATATATTAGTAAAGGTGTTTTAAGC